TCCATCCATCCATCCATCCATCCATCCATCAATCCATCCATCCATCCATCCATCCATCCATCCATACATCCATCCATCTATATATATATATATATATATATATACATATATATACATAATACAACTATAACACAAAGGTTGCAACTTCTTAAATACATTGCTAAGAGTTCTCAACTCCTCACAGATTTTGCACTATTTCTACCATACGCCACTGACTTGTAAGCCTGACGTGCGCTAATTTTTGTTACATCCAATGTGCATTGTAGTTTTATGTAAAACAAACAAATGAATAAAACTATATTAGCAACAAAGGCTTTTTTCCCACAAGAATAAAGGCATTAAATGAACTCAACCTAAAGACAAGACACTATAACATCAAAATTATTGAGGAAAAAGTTGCACATGCCATAAGAGTTAAAATAAATAGAATGAAAAAAGGCTCCAGTTGCCTTCACTGAGCTGCTTAAACTTTGACACAAACTCTGTTGCGATCAGATGAAGAAACTGAATGTCAACCTTTTAGTAGATTTATTGCTGAGAATATACACAGATACAATAACGGTTTTCAAAGTCTGCTTTTTCCTTTGCACTTTTATCTAATCCTATGATGATGTGACACCACATTCTTCCCTGCTGCCTTAGTTTCTGAGCATGACAAACAAATGCATAAGCTGCAACTTGCTTTGGCTGCCACGGTGGGCACCAAGCGAGCTGAGGCAGGTACAAAACGGATGGAGGTTGGCAGGGAAATAATATGTACGACCTGGAATACCCAGAAACCATTCACACATAAATCACCTATGATTTTTCTAAAATTGGTTCCCCAAACTACAGCTGTACAGTTCAGTGGTCGCAAAATAGGAAATCCATCCCCCCCCCCCTTTTTTTTTTTTTTTAGCAAATTTGAATTAGTCTCCAACGGTTACAAACCACCAAAAAACTGAACACAGCTACTCTTTTTATTAGCTGGCTTGACCAAACCTAAAACTCAACTCAAATAATTCATTTAGAATCAAAATCAAATATATTGTCATTGCACAGAAGCACAACAAAATTGCATTTCAGTACAGCCCGTCCAAAGAAACAAAAGGGCAAGCATGGGTAGATGGACGGGGTGCCTAAGGCTGCAGCCTCATGGGAGGCGCTGCCCTTTTCATTAGATAACAAAAAGGGAAACACAAGGAAAGAGGAGGTAGAAAAAAAATCATATCTCGCTAATGGGACACAGTGTGAAGTTGTAAAAATAACTCAGCACAAAAAAAAAAGCAACATACAGATGACATAAGACATATGAGGCCAGCGAAGGTGAGTTTGAGGGGAGTAAGTCCATGAACATTGTCTCAGATAGTCCTAATAATATATATAGACCTAATAAGTGATGGTGCAATGTTTATCAGCCGGCTCAGTAGAGCTCTGATACAGGTCCACAGATGTCCTCGGGGAAGGGAATGGGTAGGGAGAATCTTGTTCGTACAACATCCAAAAGAATTTGAGATAGACAATCTTCCAAGGCTGACACGGATTCAGATAACAGCTGTTTTGGGTCAAGCCGTCTCCATTATTTTCCATCTGCCTTACAGTCTCACTGGTACATCTCAATGGCGACTCCAAACAGCCAAATTTGTGGTCAACGCAGCCAAGCCGAGCTTGCAAACTTCTCCAAGATCAATTCCTTTCTGCTAGCGAGATTCAGGAGCAGTTGTTCAGTGCAATAAAGATGTAAACGGACAGGTTTTTTCAGTTATATCCAAAGTGTTATTCAACCTAATAAGCCTAATAAACAGCACTTTTTTTTTCAACTGACTTGTCACTTACAAGTTTATTTTTTGGGGCAAAACAGCAGCTGGATTCACTCCTCCAGTTTCATACTTTACTGTTTCATCTATTCGTGGCCTAATACGCAAATCTCCAGTGATGTGGAAGGAAATCTAAGAACTCAAATTCAGTGAGCGACTATTTCTGAGAAAAGCAAGATGTTAAAATAGACCAGAAGTGTTTCTAACTATAGTCTGATAAAGTGAAGGGTACAGAGCTGAAAGAAGAGTCGGTCGTGAATGTAAAATGAATGCCATGGTGGCGCACAACCAAGTTTGTGAATTATACATTAGTGCGCTCATAATATGCTAATAAAATGCAGCTGTCTCAGCAAAACGAGATTTAAGAATTAACGTTTCTCTGCAGGCTCACTTGAAGAAAATTCAAACAAGAAGCAGACACGGAAGCTTAAACAGGAGTTAACACAATTGTCAGTGATGACTTGCGGTGAACTCTTTTGGGTTATTTGGCCAGAGTTGGAATTTTTAAAATAAAACGCATCAAGACAGAACAAAACTTGAGCTGTTTTGGCTCTTACTGTGTGTATAGGTGAAAGCTCTGTAAAGACGAACACCTTGAAGGACAGTAGACTTTTGTGGAACCTTGATTTTTGGGGCGTCCAATAGAAGGTCACCAAAAGCACCATTAGAAACCATTTGTTGGGGACAAGACTGTGTTAATGTGTTTACATTATAACCTGATTTAATTTAGGTTTGAATTGTTGATTTAAGTTAATGTTTCAGGCCTGAGGGATGCGCAATTAAACTTGGCCTGTTTTAAGCAGGTAAAAAAGAAGCAATCTGATGCCTTTAATAAAACAGCTGTCATGATCTGCAGTTTAATGTTCGAACCCACGCGCAGGAAAACAGGAGGACTCGATATTGAAAATAAATAATAATTTATTGAATAAAACAAAATGCTGACGGGGCAGCAAAACTTACTTTAAATATGATACGACAGGTGGAGCAGACACAGATCATACACCGTGGAAGGATAAAGCCCGGATACCAAAGGGGTGAAGACATACAGTACTGACACTAATGAGACAGTGAGGAGCACCTGGGGTGATTAGAATATGATCAGCTGTGGATGGTGACATGGAAAACAGAAACAACGAACCATGTCAACAGCAGACGTATATTTTTAACCACGAAACCAAAATATTAACTTCTTCATGTTAACAATAAAAATACAAATAAATAAAAAAAACAACACTAACAATTATTTTTGTAGTTATAGTTATATTATAGACGTGCCACAATACCTGATAAACAAAACAAGATTATTTTGAGTATCAAATGGTATTTAAAATTTTTCTATTTTTTTCCTCTTTTTACACTGAGCAAAGTTTTTTTTAATGTTTCCTTTAAACCAATTGATAAAATGGGAACAGTAAATTATTGTAAATGCAAAACCACAGCATTTGAAGAAGGATAGATTAAAAACAACGACTATTTTTTGGTAAATATACATAAAATGTGAAACTTTTAAACAAATTTATCTTCATGTCAAAATTGTAAGAGTTGGTAAAAATTGGGTCTTTTAGGATCCCACTCATTTTAACTGGGCACCAGGAATATTGGATACAAATTATTAAGAACAAACCTCTGAAGTGTCTGACATGGTGTTGTAGCTGTGCCAAAATTAGGCATCATGTAAAAGCACATGGTTTTAAACCACTGAGCAAAACTATTTTACATTTAGCATAATAACACTATCAGCGTGTAAAATACATGTTAACTATGTTAGGGCATTTTACAAATGCAGTTAAATTGAACTAAACAAAACTTTTTCCAACACTGAACAACAACAAAATACAAGGAATCAACAAATAAAAATTTTCAAAATTAAACTAATCCATCCATTATCTTTACCTGCTTCTTCCTTTTCGGGTCACGGAGGTCACTGGTGCCCAACAGTCAGTGTGCGAGAGGTGGGGGACACACTGGACAGGTCACAAGTCCATCACAGGGACACATGGAGACAAACAAGACAAGCATTCAGTCTCTCACTCACACCTAAAGACAATTTAGAGTTACCAATCAGCCTAACATGCATGTTTTTGGTCTGTGGGAGGAAACTGGAGTACCCGGAGAAAACCCACACATGCACGGAGAGAACATACAAACTCCAACCAGAAAGGCCCCCAGCAGGGATTTGATCCAACAACCTTCTTGCTAAGAGGCAACAGCTCTACCAACTGCACCATCATGCCGCCTGGTTTGATTAAACAAGTCAAACCAGAAATAAACAAATTAAATGTATTTATTTTAAATATTTGCTCCCATTATCTGTTGTTGCAATTGATTAATTTTTTTATTATGTTTTGCATAATTAAGATATTACCTGCACTGATTTTGTGACTCTTGTCATTAACCACAGAACGTCACTGCCAACCACAGGGTGAATGACGTTATCGCCATTGAGGACGGCCCCCAGACTCTGGTGGGTCGCTTCATGTACGGTCCCTTGGACATGGTCACTCTAACCGGAGAAAAGGTGAGAAGCTGCAGCGTCATTGAATTATCACTGCTGGTAGAGGCTGACATTAGTTTCAGTATCCTCTGAACCACGATGATCCTCTCAGGTCGACATCCTGGTGATGACACAACCACAATCTGGCCGGTGGGTGTACTTTGACACAGAGGTGACCAACAGCAGTGGCAGAGTCACATACACCATACTGAAAAGCAAAAGACTCGGCCTTGGAGTGTATCCAGTTAAAATGGTTGTAAAGTAAGTGAACCATGAAGACAATGACCTTAATAAATGAGAATACACAGTAAATGGAAAAAATGTGTTACCAAGCATTTTTACTAAAAACACCCAATAAGCTTATATTGTGGTTGCATTTTCTCGTTTTTTCAACCCAAAGAGGAGATCAAACCAGTGCTGAGGCGTATCTGACAGTGCTGCCACGGGGAATGGAGTGTGTGGTCTTCAGCATCGATGGATCATTTGCTGCAAGTGTGTCCATCATGGGAAGTGACCCCAAAGTCCGGCCTGGAGCTGTCGATGTTGTCAGGTAACTGAAGGCTCTAAATGAGTTTCGGTTGGTTTGAGTTAAAACAGTTAACTGTACATAATGGACTGAACTTGTATATCACCTCTCTATCTTATCAAGATACTCAAAGTTCTTTACAACACAATCTGTGCCCTCATTTACTCATTCATACAGCACTCTACTATGTTTATACAAAGAGTAATCAATGCTTTATCACATTCATACACCGATGGGACACACATCAGAGGCAATGAAGGGTTTGGTGTTGTAGTGAACTAAGCCTCAGGTCAAATCTGGCCTTGAGGGCCTTCCTGGGACAAGAACTGTATTTCATTGATTTGAGTCCAGAAACACAAGATTAAGTTCATCCAGAGACTTTCTCTTGTCCTGCACTGATCAATTGAAAGAACACTCTCTTTTTCTACTATCATTACTATCTTACAAATGTCTTGATAATCAAAGTGTGTTTAGTTCAAACCATTTTTAAATGTTGAAGTGAACTACTCATTTTAAATCAACTGTGAAACAGTATTAGTGATTTTTTTAATCCTCATTCAAAGTAGAAATCAAGTTAGAATGTGTTACGGAGTAATTCATGCATTTTCTGATTTTCTGTCTGGAATGAGCAAGTGTAAGTTGGTCCAAGGTTGGAGGCAAGAGAACAAGTTGTTGGAACGAACTGTCATGTTTTTATATCCTCTCAGACGTAAATAGAGAAGCTGGCACCTGTTTTCCCCCAACTCGCCTAAACATTTCTCTCGTCTGTCTCAAAAACATCTTCTGTCCGTTCCAAAACAATTTTTCTGTTTTTCTGACTTTTAATAACCTCTTACATCACTAAAACACACCCCTGTCTGGTCGATCGACCAATCAGGAACTTCCCAAATGAACCGGAAATAGAACTCTTTAAATGTCGGCACTTCCTAGTTCCAGCCAGTCGAGTGCGGTGGGAGAGCAGTTCAGTTCGGAGTGCAGAACCGAACAGGAAAGGTGCTGGAGAAAACAGGAGGTCCAGACATGATCCGGAGTTCTTCCGAGTCTCGTGGGAATTATGAAATCTTCCACATCTGAGTGGAACTCTGACAGACTCACAACTCATGTGAGCCCAACCGAGAGGTGAACCTGTGTCGGACGGAATACCGTCACTACTTCGGACAATTCACAGCTGTTCCTACGGAGACGCTGAAAGGGTGCGTTAAATGGAACTCCGTACCAGTGGAGACACCTGCTACAGGTAAAGAGTCGATTTACACCACCTAAGTGTACCGAGGAGGAAGCTGAGATCTTAACGGAGCGTGCCGTTCTTATACCGACACATAACAACCCCTCATCCATCTTCTCTCTCAATTTTAACTCCTTCATTCCCATCTTTAAACTCTTCTATCTTGCCAGTAAATCATTCCAGATATTTTCAGAAATATCTGTTGTGGAGCAGGGAAATCATGGCCGTATGGTTTTCCTGACTGTAAAGCTAATTAATTAAGCTGTTGTTGAAATCAATTTGCCAAATTAATGTAAATGTGTGATGTTAAACTTTGATTCTGTTAATAAATGACCGCATTCATTTGATGGGTCAAAGAAAATTAACGTCTCACGTCACATTTAATTTCAATGCACGATATTATTCAGTCCAGAAAAATGAATGAATCCGTTTAATTTATGGATAATATATCACAGATATATGTTCCTCTACAGTGTCTTGGAACACCATCATGTGACTGCTGGTGGAATCGAACTCCAACTATCCCATTGGAGGACAACTGCTCTAAGCACTTAGCCACAGCTGCACCAAATAATCTGATAGTCTAATAATAATACTAATCTACATAATCTAATGTAAGTTGTTTTCACTGGTAAAGCAGCTATAAAAACACAAAGATAGATATTTGACTGGTTTTACAGTTTACTTTTCATTGACGGGTCCACAGGCATAAAGGGACAAAACAACTGTTTCATACATCTATATTCTACTGTTATCTGGGAAAGAGTTACATTTCCTACAGCTTAAGGAAATCTCCAGATTCAGTTACCTCCCTCAGTTCATCTGCAGACTCTGAGGTATTTCCAGGCCAGTTATTATATATTATGTCTCCAGCTAGTCCTACAGTGCATCTACTAAAGGTTCTGCCTGATGAGACATGTTTGAAACTCCTTCAGAAAACTTCAGGAAAGAATCCTTACCATTCTTTTGGAGGAGCATCAACTCCTCTCTGAGCTCTTCCTGAGTTCCTTGAGGATGAGTTTAATGGTTTCCAGGAAACGTATTTCAGCTGCTTGTACTTGTGGTGGTGTTGTTTTGGTCGTTACCCTCAGCTCATGACCATAGTTTAGGACTGGAACATGGATCAACTGATACATCGAGAGCTTTAACTTTTGGATCAGCTGTCTTGTCACCACAACAGACCAGTACCACATTAAAGAGTCTGCCTCAGTGTACCAGTCTCCCACTCAGTTTTATTCAGAGTCACAAACAAGAGCCAGAAATACTTTAAGTCCTCCACAAAGTCTATTCCCAGCTTTGAGTTGGCAATCCAGTCTTTTTCAGCTGAGGACTGTGATCTCAGGCTTGGAGGTGCCAATCTTCATCCCAGCTGCTTTAGACTGTGTTTTATACCATTCCAGTGCCGGCTGATGGGGTTCTCACTTATTCCTCAGTACACAACAAAACAGTTGAACTCTTCCTTTATAAATGCACTATATTCGTCAAATCAGCTGCATTTCAAAAATCAATTTGCAGCTGCTGGAGCGCACAAAGGGAGGACTCGTGCATTTCTTCAAAATTTAACAAGATAACCAGCTAAAAACAATTATTTGTTTGCTGGACATTATAGCAAAGCTGTGTCTCATTTAAACTTTTCCTTAATAAATGCACTTTAATGGTCAAATCAGCTGCATTTCACCTGGGCAGTGTGACAAAATGCAGCTGATTTGATGTTTGTTCCATGAGTTCCGGAGTGAGACAAAGGTGGCTTGGTATGGCAAGCCCCGTGTCTCATTAATAACCACTTTTACCTATTAATGAGACACTTGGCTTGCCATAATGCTTGACGGCCCTCTAGAGGCTGCAAATGGTAATGTTTAATATTTTTCATGTCAAAATGAACAAAATCGTCAGATCTCAGCCAAAAATTTTAATATAAATATGGGGAAAAAAACGTAAATAAGTCGCTTCGGTGTATAAGTCACAGGACTTGCAAATTTATGCACAAAGGTGCGACTTTTACAGAAAAAAATACATTAAATCAGAAGCAGTTTCTTCTTAAGCAGTTTTCTTCCTGACTGCTGCTTTTCGGATGATATAACTATTACCATGGCTGTGCAAGAGTTGTTCTGATTATAGTTAACATGCTGTTTTTCAATGGTTGTGATGCAGTTGAAATTTTGAGGTTGCATTTGTTAATTCCTCAGGTGTGTTTTTCCACATATTTAAGACAATTGCACTAGATTCAAATAAACTTTCTACAGAACCAGACTGAACATCAGAAGGCATCACCAACAGCAGCTGGTTTCTGAATCAGCCTTTTAAAATGAGTAATGTGCTCTGAATGCACCACAATACCAGTCACATCATCCCACTTATCTGGGCAAAGTCTGTCCTAGCTGACAGTTCTTTATAAATGAACTGGATTAAGTCATCGAGCCTTTGTATCGATCGGAGGAAATGCAGAATTCACTGAGGAGTAGCGTGTAAAGTGTTTCAAGGTTACACAAAACGTTGTTTGCTAAAAAAATCTTTTTCCTAACCTTTCGGTAGCTTTATGCTGCATTGTTTGATTTCTATTTGAAAAAGAGAAATGAAGTGCTTTTTCTTTCAAATAAAAACTCAAATATACAGTAATGTTTTTTTGTTTTTTTTATTTACTATGTTACAAGTTAAATTGAATTAACAGGGATACTGCTAAAAAAGAACCCTAAAAACAAATCGCTTTGATGTTTATTTTTATGTGTTTTCACATGCAGGCACTGGCAGGACCTCGGGTATCTCATCATCTACATCACAGGCCGGCCTGATATGCAGAAGCAGCGTGTGGTGTCGTGGCTCTCGCAGCACAACTTCCCCCACGGGATGATCTTCTTTTCAGAAGGCCTGGTACATGATCCCCTGAGACAGAAGACCATCTTCCTCAGAAACCTCATACACGAGGTAAGAAAAAACCCTCACTCTGACATTAGCGGGGCAGTTAATCTCTGCTCTACGGCGCGAGCTACAGTTTGTTCCCAGCCTAACAATGAGCTCTGTGCATCTCTCGTCACGCTCACTGCCGTTGTAGCGTTGGGTTACGATGCATTTAAATGCCAAACGCATCTCTGTATTTCTTTTCTCTCTTTTACCAGTGTCACATTAAGATCAACTCTTCTTATGGCTCCATGAAGGACATCTCTGTTTACAACATGCTGGGCCTGAACCCCTCACAGATTTATATTGTTGGAAGACCTTCAAAGAAGTACCAGAATCAATGCCAGGTAGCTGGATTTTAAATTTGTGTCCATTATCTCTTCTTTACTGACATTTCATGGCTCTTCTTTCTTGGTTTTCCCACTTAAAGAGCTTTGGTTTTCTCCTCATTTGCTTTTAATCTTCTTACCTCACTGTGTGTTTGATCTGCTTACTATTTCTGTGTGTGTGTAGTTCCTGAGCGAGGGATATGCAGCACACCTCTCCACGCTCCAGTTTGGGCACAGAGCCAGACCCAAGAAATCCCCCTCGGTCCGCATGGTCTTGAGAAAAGGTTCATTTGGTCTCTCGGCCAAGCCCGACTTCCTGTGTAAGCGCACCCACCTGCGCAGGACCATGTCAGTCCAGCAGCCTGACCCACCCTGCACGCCCAACCCCAAACCAGAGCGAGCCCAGAGCCAGCCAGAGTCAGACAAAGACCACGGTGGAGGAGGTGGTGGGCAAGGGCCATGGGGACGGGCCTCCATCCATCGTGGAGACACCACTCCCTGACATCGAGAAAGGATTGTAGGAGGAAATCAGAAGAGGAAGAGAAATGGGCCATAGTGTCCGAACCAAGGTGATATCTCATTTTCATTTTTGCGTCCCATGTTTGTAGTTTGGACCGATGTTTTCATCTAATAATACATGTAGGGAACCATTTGACAGAGGTTAGGATATAACTGTCAAATTAGACATGAGGCCCTAAGATTGAATTCTGAGTAACTTAAACCTTATGTTTAAATTATGAAAGGATTGTGTGTATTATAGACATCACCAGAGTACAAAGCAATTAAAAGACTGAAATAATTAATAAAAAGTGTACATAATGAAATTATATACATTCCGCAAGGAAAACATTTGATCCCTTTTGTGCACAGGTTTCTTTAGCAAGATAATTAAAAAAAAGATCTATTTATTTGTTGCTTAAGATTATTAATTACTGCATCGTTAACAACAGAAAACACAATAATAGCATTAATAGCTCATTAGGGATTAAAAAGGCTTTTCAGTTCTTACTTCATTGCATTATCCGTGAAGCCTCTGAGAACTCGAGGCTCGACAAAGCTCTGACGCAAACACAGATTGATTTTGCTCTCTACTGCTCAGTTCTGGCGAAGTCAATAAAGGTCTATATTGATTAAGTTATGTTCGGTGGCGTATCTCATACACTGCAGTGACTGAGATCTTATTATTTTTATTTATAGATAACTCTGGGAGCACATTACTAAAAAAATCACAGTTATTATGGGTGTATGGTGGGAAAAGTTGCAAACAATGTCCCCCCTCCCCCTTCCGCCCTTGATTTTTTAAATATTTCTAGGGCAACCCGAGGAGCAGATGCTATTGTTAGCTTCAGTTCCCCAGCAGGACTGAATGCAAATTTGCCCAAGAAAATGAATTTGCAAGTGAATCTGTGACATCTTCTGCTGTTTGAAAAACA